ACCTAGATATTTTTCCTGAGTTGAACGTTTTATTATTTTATCACCAATAGTAAGATGTGCAAACTCTGGTAAAGGTTTATTACATACATACATACATAAACACTCACGCCTGTCACCCAGAGGGGTAGGCAGAGACTACAGACTTCCATTTAGCACGATCCTGACATAACTTTCTCGCCTCTTCCACATCCATATACCTACGCATACATGCTCGTCGGTTAAGGGTACTCTTAATTTGGCCCATTTTTAGTATATCGCCAATTTGGTCGACAAACTTCCGCCTAGGACGTCCCTTTCCGACTCTTCCATTCACTTCTGCAACATATATTTGCTTTGTCAGTCTTTCCGCATTCATTCTTTCTACATGACAAAACCACCGAAGCATTCCTTTCTTAATCCTGGTCACCGCATCATCTTGCAAACCACACTCTTCTTTTATCACACAGTTCCTCACCCTGTCACTCAGATTCAGCCCTAACATAATCCTTAGCGACCGCATTTCTACTGCATTTATTCTACTCTCGTGCTTCTTCTGCCACACCCAACTTTCACTACCATACGTTAAAGTAGGGACTAATACAGCACTGTGAATTGCCATACGTGCATTTTTCGACACATTTTGACTCTTCACAATAGAGTGTAGAGCCCCATTTACTCTATTTCCTGCATTCACTCGTCGTTCAATGTCCTTATCATATCTCCCATCCCTGCTGAATATCATATCTCCCATCAAATACGAACTCAACCACTTGCTCAATTAACTCTCCTTCTATTCTTATTTCACATACCGTTTTGCTTTCATCTCTTTCAAAAACCATCACTTTCGTCTTACTTGTCCACTCTGTCATAAGCCTTTTCCAAGTCCATGAACGCACAAAAAACTTTTTGGTTTTTCGCCAAAAACTTCTCCGCGATCATGCGCATGGAAAAGACTTGATCTGTACACCCTATTCCCTTTCTAAATCCCGCTTGCAAATCTTTCATGATTTTTTCTACAAAGGTTTATTCTTTGTAGAAAAAATCATGAAAGATGTTTTTGACATATTAATTGTTAGCAAGTTATATTTTAACCATATTCCGAGTAAGTCAAGATCTTTTTGAGCATGGTATTTGCGCTTAGTATTATTACGATACTATATATTACAAACTATGAAATAATGGTATAGTTAGGATAATTATACTATGAAATCCGACCCTGGTTACGTCGTGTTATGATATGACGTTTGTATTATGACAGATGCGCTACTTTTTCTTGCATGAAAAAGTTATGAGTAAAATATTTAGATGGGCCTATCCTTCCTTTTTGAAATCATTGAAAAGTACGCATTAGTTTTAACTAGCCCAGCAGACGTTGTTCTGTCATTTTCGATAGATTGCGCGATAATATTAATGACTTGACCGTATCGCCGGCTGTCCGGCCCAAATTTTTTGATTTTCTTTTTGGCACTAAGAGCCGTGGTAGCTCAGATAGTTAGCGCTCGCTGTAAATTTCACAGTACGCGAGCAAACCGGGTTTGATCCCCGCCGGCACCAATGAAATTGTTAATTGCAATTTTAAGTGCTGTTTTACCACGTGCTCGGCGGTGAAGGAAAACATCGTGAAGAAACCTGCATGTCAGAGAAATAAATAAAAAAATATATTTCGAAGACATGTGAAGTTCGCCAACACGCATTGGGGCAGCGCGGCGGACAATTCCTTGCCCTAAAACCCTCTCAGAAATGAGCGGAGGCCTGAGCCTAGCAGTGGGACGTATATAGGCTGTAACTTTACTTTACTTTTAACTTTTTGGCACTAAACCAACATAATTACGAATTATGAATATTATAAGGGATTTTCGTTTATAAATATAGAATTATTTATTAACGGGACCCAACTAGTGGATCCTAGCATATAGCTATGAAGCATAATCTCGACTAAACTATTACATTATGTGAATGTGACCTCGGTCGGTCTCGGTGGTAGGATTACTTTTCTGCCTGGGAGTTCGTCTGTGTTTTTTTGTATTGCTTTTATATCACCATCATCATCTGCACCAACTACTTAAATATAATGTATTTTTGCTTGATGGTTACTTTGGACGATCACTGCAAGGGTATATTTGATAAATGCAATATTACGTGCTAATTTATCTTGCTCAGTAATAAAACATCGTGAAGATACCTATAGATAAAAAAAGACGTGTGGCACTCGGGGACTGCCGCGGTAAAGCTATTGCATAGCATTTTGTATCAACTTATGCAATTATAATTATTTATTTATTTTATTTATGCAGTATTTCTTTTTCTTTGATATTAATTCAAGTTATATACTTAGGTTAATCCAATCAAATTCAACCAGATTTAACCGAACCCGCGTTATAACGAACTCACTATTTGTGAAAAATACTGTATCACTGGACCGCGTCGCAAAAAACTCAGGTTCGCGCAGTACATACGTCAGGGCGGCCGTACGGCAATTATATTAACAAGACGCGCAACTACTCAGTTCCACGCTCCACGGCAAGATTTTTCACTTATTATTTATTGTCCAATTAATTGTCTTTAAGTTCAAATGGCACGCTCTATTAACATAAGTCTAAGACAAAACAAGGAGACTTTCAATATATGAACAACCCGGCTTCGCGTTTGTGTTAGTAAAATAAGCTCTTATTAAGTTAGCTTAGAGTTTAGATTAGTGTAAGCTATACGCAATCCTTGTGGCATGAATTCTGTGCCTCCTGTGATGAGTGATTTAAGTTGAGTTGTACCCTTTTTTGTGATTTTAACATGGGCATTATCAGAAAATAATTACGATTTTTTTGGTCTAACTCACGTTTTTCTATCTGCTATAGTTTCGGAGATAATTTTGTGCAAATTGATATAACTGTCCAGAATTTGACAAAAAATTCGTGAATATCGATATTTGTCAAGATGTAACCTCCATAAGTAATCACTCAATGCACTATTTTTCGTACTTCATGATTTAAATGTGATTGTATTCAATTTCACATTTTATTTTTCAGTACAATTATCGTGAATATTGATGTGCCTAGAGTCATATCCTTTTGAACCGATTCTTTTCGATATGCCTAGGGTACAAATGGACATATACCTACCGATTCCAATGTGAATTTATGAATTTTTTTGTGAAAAGTGATACATCGTGAGATAAATCTTTCTACACAAATCTGTTTTTATGTGTAAACAGATATAAATGTAATTGTATTTAAAAGTCAAACCAATTCTAAAAATATTTATGTAGAACTATTATATGCTAAATGATACGAGTGTAGGTAGTGTGGGTGCGCGGAGGTGAAGCGCCGCGTGATCGGGGATGCGCGGGACTTGGAGCCGTATTTTGAGTTTTGCTCGTGCTTTCCGCCCGCAGTGTCGCTGCGGCATTGATGGAGTGAGGTCACGTCCGAATGCGCCATGGATCGACGCGTAAGTTGATAGACGTATCATTTTACACGAAATTCCATAATATTGGATTTTTTTGTTTTGATATTGAATTAAATCACCTGACACAAAATAACGCAATGTTTTCGTATAGTCATAGTAATTAAGTTGCTTGATCTTTTCTTTTGCAATTTTGTCCCTATTATTTTGTTTTAACTAGGTATTCAAAGTCATTTCCTGTTTTTTTAATTAACCTTTGATTTATTATTTAAAGTCTTTTTAGAGACAAGTGTTGTTTTCGTGCTGTGGTTTTCAAAACTTTAATGTATTTAATGCTAAATAGAATAATGTTCGTTTCAGTTAAAATCTCGAATTGATAAAATAATGGAGTTGGCCTCTGAAGCCGAAATTGAAGAAAAATATTGTAATACTCAGGGATATGGCTACGAATCAAGCGAGGAGCAAGAAACAAGAAAAACAGTTGAAGGGTCGCGTCATCAGGATCCAATAGTTGCAGAAACGGTTATTGACAAAGAAAAAACTAGTGATATCCAGGAAGAAGGCAACATATTAATAGGGACGCAAGAAGTAAGAAAACCAGTTGAAGAGTCGCGGGACCTTCCAATTGCTGCGGAAACGGTTTGTGACAATAATAAGAGGAACACGACACAAGAGAATTCTTCAAAATACCTACTAGATGACTTGAGAATTTCCGATTCATCAGACGATGGTAATTTTGGATCATCTAGCAGTGATGATTATATTTGCGCTACTGATGAATCGTCGTCATCCAGTGATAATGAAAGAACTTCAGCTAAAAAGAAAAGAACGACTACGTCGTCGGTGAGACATACCTCCAATATTACAGTTCCAGAAACACCCCCGTCGCCCATGAGCACATCAGAGAACCCTGTTCCTGGTTGCTCTTTCTGGGAACGCAACGGTATGAATAGTGCCGGGAAAAAGAAAAAAACAAGAAAAAGTGTCAAGGAGAGAAGACAGGATAGAGCAAGGAGAAAATTGTTTCGTAATACTGGCTTAGAATATATAACGACATCAGGGAAAACAAAGAAACGTCGGCAACTTCATGAACTTGAAAACTGCCGTCAAAAATGCAAGCAGAGACTACCACAGGACTTGAGGGAGAAACTTTTTAAACAGTACTGGAGTTTAGGTAGTTACGAAAATAGAACTAAATACATTGCGAAATGTATTGAAGTCTGCCAAAAAAAAAACTTCGAAGCTTTCTCCAAAGAAAAAACGCAACGTCAGCTTTCGTTACTTTGTACATGGTTTTGATCATACAAAACATCCAATTTGCAAAGGATGTTTTTTGAAGACTTTTGATGAAAGTCACAAATATCTACAAACGGTATGCGAGAAACTACGTCATCTTCCTCAGCGTAAACGTCGAGTTGGTAAGTCAATTCCTGATTTCAAACTAGAGGAAATAAAAGAACATATTGCTTGTTTCCCTTGCACAGAAAGCCACTACGGCCGCAACAAAACCACTAAAAAAGTTTTTGAATTCCGAGCTCAACCTTCAAGTTCTTTATAACTTATACAAACTGAAGACTGATGCTCCAGTAAGCAAAACCATCTTTAAAAAGGTCTTTGAAACCATGAATTTATCCTTCAAAAAGCCATCTGTAGACACTTGTTCAAAATGTGACCGCATCAATATGAAACTCAAGTATGCATCTGTGGATCAGGCTGCAAATCTGATAGAGACGTTCAAGGAGCATCAAGAGGCGTTTAAGGCTGCTTACGAAGAGAAAAAGGCAGATAAACAACTGGCTCAATCGAGCGAAGTTGTAGCTGTCATAACATTTGATTTGCAACAATGTTTACCCACCCCGTACTTGCAAACGAATGTTGCATTTTATAAGCGACAATTGTGGACATTTAATTTGACCATACACGATTTGAAAACAAACAAGGCTTTCTGTTACATGTGGCCGGAGTGTGAGGGTAATAGAGGGGCTAATGACATTGCTTCGTGTTTATATGATTTTATCATAAATCAACTACCAAACTTACACCCAAACGCTAAGAAGCTGATCATGTTCTCGGACTCTTGTTCTGGCCAAAACAAGAATTCGATTGTAACAACAATGTTAATGCTAGTTACTAGACTATCCCCACAATTACAATTTATTGAACATAAATTTCTCGTACCTGGCCATACACACATGGAGGCTGACACCGACCATGCATTGATTGAGCGTAAAAAGAAGATCACGAATATGGATATACACTTGCCAAGAGATTGGTACCAACTAGTGCGTACAGCTTCAAACAAAACAGCCAAGTTTACTGTTATCGAAATGACTCATGAAATGTTTTATGATTTTAACATTTTCGTAAAGCAATCTTTTACTTTTAGGAAAACGAATACAGCCAATGAAAAGTTTTTGTGGTTGAACGTTAGATCTGTTCTTTATAACAAAGAAAACATATCCTGTTTTTCTTACAAAAAAAGAGTTCAAAGATGTTGAGTACTTGACCATGGACTGTTCTAAACGGGGGGAAAACTTATGATAATATATTTACGATTAATATGGTACCGAAAGCTTACCACTCTAAACTTCCTATTTCAACCGATAAGAAGAAAGATCTATTAAATTTGTTATGTTTTATTCATGAGAGCGCTCATGAGTTTTACAGAAGTCTGAGCTGCAAAAATGATGTCAAAGACAGTCCAGCGGACAATGACGATGATTCAGATGGTGAATAGGTTCCGGTTCATATTATAACTTATAGATCGAAAGACTTTGTTATTTTTTTATTGCTTTGTTAACGTTAGTCTACATACAGGTGGGCATATTATAATAATTTAAAAAGGTTCAATTCTGATTTGAGTATAAGTATTTTTTTAGTTAACATTATAATCATTTAAGACGAGTTATCCATCTCAGAGGGCAATTTATTATCTACCTCTATGGAACACCTGTTAAAATTTGAAGTGTTGAAAAATTTTGTTTGTTTGTTATTTTCCTAGATTTTTAGATTAAGACATGATTGTGATACTTTGTATTGTACTTAGTAGGTTAATATTGCTTATCGTGATACCTAAAGATAGATCTGTGCCATTTCTTAGATTTTAAGTTTAAAATTACTTGCTAACTTTTTTACAAATGATAAGTTCCTATTGAGAATAGTTAAGCTACATTCATATTGTTAAATCGTGATTATTTGATCTCAATTTACTTTTTTTAAGAATTTTGATAAATTTGTGCCTTAAATTTGAGTGAATTATTTATTTTGAAAAAGTTTAATAAACGTTGATTATTTTTCTACAACTTGTATTTATTTACACAATCCATATCTCTTTTGCTGATGGGTATATCTCGACTTATATCATTTAACTCATCTTCTAAAATACTAGGATTTTAGTATTCTGATACAATTCAGGAAAATATTGTAAATAGGCGACTGATAAGTAAAAAAATTAAATCTAAACGGTTATATCTTTATCTTTTGTTTGAAGAACACTGTGCTAGGATCATTATTCTGATGAGTTATTATATGTTTTAACTTCGTGTATATCAGTTTACACAACGACAACTTATAGATGCAACGTAATTTAACTGTACAAGTATCATTTATCACATAATTTTAGCACATAATAAAAGGTACAACTCACAGGTTTTCATGATTTACTTTAAAAATTAAATAATGTACTAAAAAACTAAAATATATAGCGAAAGAGAATATTTTACTCTACAAAAGAAGAAACTCAAATTTAACCTAGCCCAGTTAGTTCACGAACAAGAATTTTTTAAATCTTGTTTTTGCACTCTTGTAAAATGATGATTTTTCACTTGTATCACCTATCACAGGAGGCACAGAATTTAGGTAGTATTTTATTGACTCCCATTGTCTCGGCCGACGCGACCGTTGGACCGTAAACGTAAACAGATGACGCTTTCTAACGATAATGAATATAATATTATAACAGTCAATGGTTCATTATTCTAATGTGTTGTAAGATTAAAAATATATAATGAAATATATTATCTGTTGTATGTTATAACGCCCAACTTTAGGGGTGACCGACCGCGCGCACAAATACAGCTAGCCTCCCCCTCCCGCACCTCACTAATCGTCGCTTCACACCGCTTGAGATAAGACGATCTACTATCAGGCGCTAACAAACCCCCGTCCCGGACATAAGGACCTATGTCCGCGAGTAAATTGGCAATTAGAAGACGCTTTGTATTGTTGGTTTTTACAAAAACGATCAACTGGGCAAATGATATCTGGCCCTTTGCTTTGTGAAAAAGCATTACAGTTAAATAAAAAATTAGGTGACGGCGGCTCGTTTGTCGCAAGTAACGGATGGTTATATAGATTTATATCTCTTCATGGAATTTAATCAATGTTTATTAAAAAATAATAATTTCTTAATAAACATTGATTTTCGTTGAAATTGTTGTTTTTAATAAACACATAACATTATGTATGTACATATGTACTACAAATGCACAAAACCCGCTTTTCTTCATACATTCGATCATCCGGATTTTCGATTATCCGAATCCCTAACGGCAACAAGTAGTCCGGTTAATCGAGTATATATATATACATATTGAGAATCTAAATTGAGAATTTAAACTATACGCGTGTGTGTGTTTGTGTGTATATAAAGAGGGCTACTTTTAATATCGCTCATTTTAATATCAAAAATTTAGGTTATCTTTATAGCAGTATTATATGATTAAAACTACTTTTACGGATTTTATCGCGTTTATTTTTACTTTTTATTTTTAATTCCCGACGTTTCGGGCGCTTTCCAGCACCCATGGTCACGGGGGACTGAGATGACTGACGTCCCGATGTCATTGTTAAACCCGGAGTACCTTCAGCTTTTTTAATTATTGTTTATGGTCCGATCTATGCAAAATGAACTGACTATGTCTTGAGTTCTTGCAGTGGTATGCTTGGGTTTAGTTTTAATTTTATTGATTATAGGATCCCAAGCAGGTGGTAGTACCCAGCCTCCTTCTCTATTGAAATTAGGATGTTTTTTAATTTCAATAGCCTCACGTATCATCCTTGGTAAGAATCGGTGTTCTTTCGCGAGGATTTGTGGTCTATCCAAATTCTCGCGAAAGAACACCGATTCCTTAATTTATATTCAAAACCGAAAATTAATATTCAAAAACTGAAGGTAGCCGGACTAACTATGACATTGGGACGTCAAACAGCTCAGTCCCCCCCCCGTGACCATGTGTGCTGAAAAGCACCTGAAACGTCGGGATAATAAAAATAAATTAAAGTAGTAATTAAACGCGATAAAATCCGTAAAAAATAGTTTTATTCAATGTGTAGTGTTCGCATAAATTTAAGAAATTATAACCACATAGATTTCTGAACTCGGTGTAAAAAGAAAATTAGTTTGCTTTATTGCCGTAGATTAGCTAGTCTATAGTGTGTACAGCCCATGTATATTCTCTTTCAAGTTCAAAAAGACTGTTATATTTCTATTCATAAGCTATTATAAAGTTCATACGTATGAATAGGCCCGCTTTCCACTTAGTTCCGCCGAAAATGTCGTATATGTGAAATGTAGGTCAGCTCTAGTGGATTTTTCACTTTACGGACTCTAAGAAGTTTCACTGTAAAATTAATCATGTTTAAAAAGTTTGTTAACAGTGGCATGATGTGGAAAAGCTTGTGGCTTTCTATTCTGCTGCTGCACGCGGTAATTGCTTTTACTTTGTATATTTTAACCACTGCATTATTTATTCGTTATTAATAACACTTACATTAAATGATATATTTTTTACTTAAAACTCATAGAAACAAAATATTCGTATATGCATCACACAGATGATATTCATTCCCGATGGGGAATTATTATTGTTTATGTATGTATTTATTGCGGCGATGTTATTGTTGAAATAGCATGTTTATATTTACATAGCGACTATGCCAAAATATTTAATATCTTCTTTTTCTTCCTGTCGCATGTAATACGTAATACTAAATGCACAGTACCTAATACCAAATACTAAATGCCAATCTAATCTAAAACTTTTCGAGTATATGAGTATGTCATGTCTCCCAAAGGTATTGATACCATCACCGGATTTTTCTACGATTACCTTCGAAAAGAAACGTAGTAAAAACTAAGTGATTGCCTTAGATTACCTTTGCCGAATATAAAACTTCTACTTTTTGATAAGAAGTTGTTTCCGTGGTAGATTTTTACAATGCAAGCAGTGTTACCAACATTATAATCAGCCCATGACAATTCACTTTTGCGATCAGGTTGTTTTCATATAGCTTGGCTTTTCTGTATCTAATTACCACGGCGGATTGGCGCCTACAGTACATTGCTCTCTACTACATATTATTTTACATGTAACTTATCATGTTGCTTCCCTGTCCAATTATTACATACTCTATATTTCTTTTTTACATAGTAGAGCCAATTCGAAGCTTTATTATGACTAAAGCACAAAAGGGTCGGCTCTAATGGGGAAGGACCACGTCTCTCACAGAATACAAGCATAAAATATCAGCTTATTGTTTCGGTGTTCCATATAGTGAATGGAGAGAACTGGAGGCATTTCTTCCTATTCAGTGGTGACAACGCAGCTACATTTTGATTTTTAATCGAGGATAAATATAGAGGTCTATGGTCTATAGTAGAGAATTAATGTAGTATCCACTTACCACCAAGTTGACTGTTTGCTAGTTTGTTACCCTTATTTTATTTAAAAAATCTAATCTCCATTTTAGAATCCGATTAAAAATGAATTTTTATGTTTCATTTATTATGTTTTTTGTTATTTTTTATATATAAGAGAGGGCAAACAAGCGTGCGGCTCACCTGATGGCCAGTGACTACCATCGCCCATGAACAACAGCAACGCCAGAAGAATTGCAGGTATGTTGCCGGCCTCTTAGAAAGGAGTAAGCTCTTTTCTTGAAGGTCCCTAAGTCGTATCTGTCCGGAAAAATCGCCGAAACATAGCAGTATTAAGCTACTATTTTACGCTGGTATTCTGTGAGAGCGTGGTCCTTCCCCGGTCGAGCCGACCCATTCGTGCTACAACTATACTACTACTACAACTGCAGCATGGTTCTACTACGTAAAAACTGAAAGAAAAAGAAATGAAGCTGAAGCTTAATAGCGCCTACATTTTGTAAAACACTTTTACTGAACGTAACATTATCTTGTGTTTTACAGGTGCATGAAGCTAACAATATTATTGAGCATAATATACAAAGTACAAGCTCAACCTGTTAAATGTGACCAGACTCCACCACAAGTAACAGCATCTGAACCAAGTGAAAATAAAGGATTATTCAAACTGTCCGTAGTAAGAAGAGACAATGACACCAAGAACGTCTATCTTCCTGACCAGACATATGTTTGTAAGTCGCTGTGTTTATTCTTGTTTGGTGTATATTTGATTTTTAAAAACAATCAATATAATTTTTTAACAAACGACTTTCATTTTTAATTTTAATTTAAACATTTACACAATCTCCTAAATTATAACCTGATTTATTTAGAAGTATTTGTATCTACCATTTTTCCACCGGATATATTATAAATGTATCTACTAATTTATTACTGTTTATTTTTATCAGGCGTTTTAACCCCTTTCTATTAAAGAATTTTTTCTAAGAATGTTTTCTAAAAACAATTTTAATATAAATATGTCATCAACATCAACAATGCCACTAAGTGTTTTTATTTTATTTTAGTAATGCTCGAAACAACCGATCCTAACCGCACTTTTAGATGGTTTATGATAACAGTTGAAGATCCCGACGTGGACAACACTGCTCACGGGTTTGAACACCAACCCGTGGATGTGGGAAGTCTCAAGACGTTAGCAAGTAACCAGCAATCTCGTTATAGTGAGAGATGTGCCAACTCGGTTGAAAGTGCCGATTATTCAGAAAAGAGTTATGTCGAGGTAGGTTCACTACATTTCCAGGGATTTCCCGCAATAAAATGGAAACATTGTTTGAAAAATTCAAATCCCCATATTCGTGTAAAAAACATATTCAAACCAAATGTCAAAAGGCGGCCAAGATCAGAACAAACGACGTTTGGGGTTAGAGACTTCGCCGATAAAATAGTTGAGATCTGCGGGGTTAGCCAAGTATCCATAACAGTTCCTTTAATTATAGCTTCAACAATGTACAACTACAGGAATATTGCGTTGCTACGAAGTGTACAAAAAGGTTTGTTTCATAATTCACATAGTGAATCTAGTTACTGTTACAAACCTTAACATTATGTAATCTCGGCACATTACTTCATGGGTAAACATGCGCATAGTCGTAGAAATCCCACAAGGAGCGGGGATTTATCAACCTCATCAGTGCCATTATGGGTGCCCTTAACGTTGACGAGTTTAGCCTCCACGGACTTTCATGTAAGAAAAGTGCTGGTAGGTTATCCCGTCACGGCTCTATCCGAAGAACACTTATTTCTACAAATGTTCGCTCGGATTTCGAGCCTTGTGGAATGTTTAAAAATTTTGGCGGGTTCCTTGCACGTATGATTTGACGGTATGCTTTCTAAAAAGCAGCACGCTGGTCTTGGCATTTAATTTTTGAGTTTTAGTTTTTTAATATGGTACTAAAAAATTGTACATATTTGAATGTTTTATAACTAAGTGATTTCAATAACAATCATGGGATTATTTCGGGTTTGATTTTTTTAAAACAAATATTTTTCACCCGACCGTCACCTCGGCTGTGAATTACAAATTTCCATACCGCGTTATTTATCTACCTAAAACCGATTAATAATCTTATTAATCCCAAGTATTATTGACAATCCTTGTTAAGTAGTTCCGAAGAGTTAGTTTACTTATTGGAAAGTTGTGGATTTTGTTATTGGATGACTCTCTGCTTCGAGTAAATTTAGTAGATATAATAAATTAGGTAGTATTTATTGTTTGCTGTTGCAGGACCGGAACGAAGGTTAGTGGTTAGTACATCTACTGCTTAGGTTGAAAATCATTATCTCCTAATTTCAAAATTCTTTTACACATTGTCGATTTATCCACTTGTAATGTGGAACTCCAGCTTGTCTTCGCTCAAGCCAATTAAATCATACCTTCGTACGGCATTGACGGAAGACAGGTTCAACGTTTTGGCTCACATATATATTCCCTACAACCTGTCCAAATCATTGAAGAATTTGCATAAAGTTATCCGAGGCTATGATTTTAATGAGCAATTTTTTAGTGCTTTTTTTAGTGCGTTAGTATTTCTTGATACCTCAGCTGGGTCAAAAGCCCCTCCCAAACCAAAATCCTGGATCCGTCACTGTGAAAGACTGGCAAATAATAAAAATAAATTCACTGTCCTATTCAATGAGTACAATATAGCACAATTATTTTTATTCTGCATAGTTTCTAAATAATCATACTTATTTAAAGTAATATTTTAATTTTATCACTGTTTCGAAAAACCTTTGTCCTAGGAAAACCAGTGGAACTTTTTTTTTCAAGTGATAGTTTACAACGTTTTTATAATTCGAAAACAACTCGATAGTGATCACCTCATTCCCATATTTTTTGTAAGAAATTAATAACTTATCTCATCGTAATAGAATACCCACATAATCAAAAGGCTTTGATACAAAGATATTTTTATTTACATATTATATTGACAATGGGCGAAATAGTTTTGATAATGTATGTTGTGATCCTCGCTCGTCGTTTTGATAAACGCCTTTGTACAATCTACAGTATACAACCATTTATAGTATAGAAGATAAGAGTCTGCACCTCGTAACAGTTTGAGGCCTTCATATGTCCTTAAAATTTTATTTCTCTGACATGCGGTAATTATCAAAATGCTTTTGCCACCACCGAACGGAAGAAATTGAAATAATTGCTTGTAATTGTAATCAATCATTTCGTACTTGCGCCGGCGATTTACTAGATATATAATCTAACAAGATAGATAACTAGAGTAGTGTAAAATTTAACATGAGTGACAGATTTTTTTAAATATAGAATAAGGGCGACATACGAACACACAGTCCACCCGATGGTAAGTGGAAGCCGTGACCTATAGACATCTACATTTATCCTCGACTAAGAAACAAAACGCAGATGCGTTGTCTCGCCTGAGGATTAAGATGGAATAACTCGTTTCCAGTAAAAAAGGGTCTCCAGATCTCTACACCTACCATACGAAACATAGCGGTATTAAGCTGCTATGAGTATATTACGCTGGCATTCTGAGTGACTGCTTAGCTTCTTATAATTTATCATGTGGCCTAAACATTCCATTGCTGAAAACAAGTCATAGAGAATTTGCCGAAATCGCTATGCCTTGCATGAACTATTTCTAGTGCCTTTGACACTATTTTCCATCCCCAACTTAACGTTACTTCTGTCACAAACGTGATATTTTTATAGGATTGGGTAATAAACGAGCACACAGTCCACCTGATAGTAAGCGGATGCTGTGCCCATAGACATCCACATTTATCCTAAATTAAGGGGATAGAGTAAGTCAGCTCAAATTCTAATTTCGTCCCCACTTGCCCGCGCGTCGTATGCTATGTACCGATATGTTTGTAATCACTAATACTGTAAGTAGAAAGGTCGTTAGACACTTTTTTCATTAAGTTTATCATATTTATGCCTGTTTCTTAACGCCAAGCCAGTCGCTTCTTATTTTTATTGCGGTTATTTCCCATTTTAATTTTACGTCGTCCTGTTGCGTAATGTATATTCTGATCGTAAGCGACACAACCTACCCGTTCAAAGGCCGAAGCGAAATGACCGTGCGGCAGGAATCACGCTTCAAAAGGCCGATAGTTTAGGTAATTTCTTTTTTACAGTGAAAATAATGGTATTTTAAAAAAGTAAATGACATAAGGACTGCTTTATAATTAGTTCAGTTAGTATGCAAAGTTTCATGATCTTATTTAAAGTATTTTATGAATAACAGCGGTTTATTGTTTATTTTGGAGATAACTTTGGATTTTTTTTCTATCGAGAAAATTTTACGAAATCGTGTTTTCGTCTAACATAATCCTTAACAGTAATCCTCAACTTTACCATATATTTATTTTAAAATTAATGCTGCAATATTTTCGGCATAACGAAGGATCTTGCTAAGCCATTTGAGATTATATTTCCCCTTAAGAATCAAAATGCAGATGCGCTGTCACCGCTGAGGACTAAGATGGAATGCCTCAATTCTAGTAAAAAGAGTCTCTGGTTCTCTTACACTCACCATATGAAACACAGCAGCATTACGCTGCTATTTTACATTGGTATTCTGTGAGAGCGTGGTTCTGCCCCGGTCGAGCCGACCCATTCGTCCTACAACTATAATATAGCTGTAGCGTGGCTCTACCACGAGCCGGTTAGAGTGTCATATACAGGTACCATGTGTGCCAAATAAAAAATCCAATAATTGACTGCTACGGACCAAGAAAAGATAAGAATATTGATGTAATGCTGTACGATTAAAAGAATGTCTTGTTTTTTACATTTCTTCATTTTTGTCTAGATACATTGGGTGTCGCCAAAGAATAGTCCAAAACGGAAAGTGAGGCTTCGTGCCACGGTCGTCGAAAATCCAGAAATGTGGTATACAGAGGAAGATTTAACCATCTTGCTTAAAAAAGATGACCGTAAGCCGCTGGACAGTGCTCCTTATCCAACTATTGAACACTGCGATCTTCGAAGCGAAGCACGGTACGAGGTATGTTTGTTTCGTAAATTGAAATAAAATGAAAATGAGAATGGCTATATTCTGAATGATGAAGTTTTGAGTTTAAAGAGATGGAAGGAATATTTTGAAAGCGTGTTTATGAGTGAGGAGACAACGTGTGTATTAAGTGAAGTAGAAACACCGAAAGAAGAGGAAAGAGGTAGCGAGATAAGTATAGATGAAATAATGAAAGCAATGAAAAACATGAAAACAGGTAAGGCTGCCGGATATGATAGAGTTTTACTCGAAATGCTAAGGGCTGGATAGGAAGTGGTGGCAGGCCTGCTGCACACCTTGTTTAATTTATGCTGGGAACTGAAGCGGGCACCGGTAGAGTGGTGCAAAGCCGTGATAGTCCCAGTATATAAAGGAAAAGGGTCGCAGCAGGACTGTAAAAACTACCGTGGCATCAGCCTTCTTAGCATTGTGGGAAAACTGTATGCTAAGATACTGATTGAAAGGGTCGTGAAAGAAACTGATGGAAAAATTTGGGATGTGCAAGCGGGATTTAGAAAGGGAATGGGATATACAGATCAAGTCTTTTCCATGCGCATGATCGCGGAGAAGTTTCTGGCCAAAAACCAAAAGGTTTTTTGTGCGTTCATGGACTTGGAAAAGGCCTATGACAGAGTGGATAGGGATTTGCTATGGCAAACACTGAACTCATTTGGGTTGAGCGCTGGCTTGATACAGGCATTGGATAGTCCTTTATAGGGACTCTAGTGCTTGTGTTAGGATCAACGGGGTCTACTCGGACTGGTTGACATCCATAAAGGTGTCAGACAGGGCTGTGTGGCTTCCCCGTGGCTGTTCAACCTATTTATGGACAGTTGTTTGCAAAATTTGAAAGTTGAAGAATGCGGATTAAGAATGGGTGAGTTAACCGTCAAATGCCTTTTGTACGCCGATGATCAAGTTATTCTTGCGTCGTCGGCGGCCGAGTTGCAAATGATGGTTACATTAATGAACGGATCATTAAAAGAAAGGGGTATGAAAGTGAATGCAAGTAAAACGAAGGTTATGGTTTTTGAAAGAGAAGAAAGTAAAACGATTTGTGAAATAAGAATAGAAGGGGAGTTGATCGAGCAAGTAGATGAGTTTGTATATTTGGTCTGCGTATTTAGCAGGGATGGGAGATATGATAAGGATATAGAACGACGAGTGAATGCGTGAAATAGAGTAAATGGGGTCTTGCACTCTATTGTGAAGAGTCAAAATGTGTCGAAAAAGGCACGTATGGCAATTCACAATGCTGTGTTGGTCCCTACTTTAACGTATGGTAGTGAAAGTTGGGTGTGGCAGAAGAAGCACGAGAGTAGAATAAACGCAGTAGAAATGCGGTCGTTAAGGAGTATGTTAGGGCTGAATCTGAATGACAGGGTAAGAAATTGTGTAATAAGAGAAGAGTGTGGTTTTCAAGATGATGTTGTGACCAGGATTAAGAAAGAAATGCTTCGGTGGTTTGGTCATGTGGAAAGAATGAATGAAGAAAGAGTGACAAAGAAAATTTATGGTGCAGAAGTGAATGGCAGAGTCGGAAAGGGACGTCCTAGGCGAAAATTTATTGACCAAATTGGCGATTTATTGAAAACGGGTCAAATTAGGAGTACCCTTAACCGACGAGCATGTATGCGTAGGTGTATGGATGTGAAGGAGGTAAGAGAGGTGTGTCAGGATCGTGCCAAATGGAAGTCTGTAGGCTCTGCCTACCCCTCTGGGTGACAGGCGTGAGTATTTTATGTTATTATGAAATAAAAGTTCATAGATTTGCGTCGAAGGGTGCAATATTCGACCAGCACTTTTTCAGATTGTCACTTAGTGATACGTGTACCAGGCTACTGAATTTGCGTCTCGATTTCGTATTCCGATTAGGGCAAGTATTGTTTTGCAAGCCTTGAAACATTATCAAGTCCCCTGTGTAACACATAATTCAGACTTAAATTACATTTTAATGAATACACGTCACTTTATCTATCTTATATAAGTAGGGCTGGGCTATAGTGACGGTATTTTCGCTTCGTTCTTGACTGTTGATAAATATAAATTTTTCTGCTTTTCCAATGTTTTCTGTATCTTTTTAATTTTGTGGTGTACAATAAACGTAGCTCAGTAAATACTTCTTCTTTGGCACTGGATCCTTATTCAGTCGAAAGTACTGATTTCGATTCTGATCGACACAAAAATGATTAGTTCGATTATGAAGTCCTGGTATCTCTTAAATCTAATTTCCTTATCTGATTGATTCCTCTAAATTCTCTCTCATATTTGCGGTACAGTAGAAACGGGAAAAGGTGAAAACAGCAAGCGTCCAAGTACAAACAAAGTGGATTCCCAGATTTAGGAATTTGACACATTCACCAACGTTTTGCAGACGTTGAAATAATTTCAGTATCAGAAGAATCTCGCGCTTTCCCACTGTTCGACTATGGATCTCTTATTTTAGAATTGGTATGTGCTTACAATTTTAGACGTTTCACCCAGGACGACAATAATCTATCATATAAGTAAATGAAATAAGCGTTGAACCTTCTCTTTTTCCAGAGTTTTAGTCAAAACAATTACCCCCATAGTCTATCAAATTAAAAGTACAATCTAAAATTACAGTAATTAGCTACTTTAAATATTTATGTGTAGGTACTATTCTTAAATGAATATTACTTGAATATATTAATTTAATATAACATTTTGTATGTCTAAATCACACCGGATAAGATTTAAGATAACAGAAGTTAGATGGCACCACGGCTGCGCCCATATAATACATAGCTTTAAAAATAATGCCTATACATATGACACGTTAAATTAAATTGCCGTGTAGTGGTGGTGAAAAAATATATATGGGATGCATTTACTTCAACTCAACTTTGGATAATGTCAGAAAAAACTTATGAATTCCAATTGCAACCATCTCGGTTATACCAGGCATATTATACCCAAAGTGACGGGTGCTAATGTTTATTTCACTCGTTCAAAACCAGGGCATGTAGCTAGTTTATAAAAAACGTTTTTATCGCGTGAGAGCTTTATTCGATTTTTTTTAACGGTCTGGTGTATGTTGCTATCGGTTACGCAAAATCTACCGTAACTCACGAGAAGAGAACGAGTAAGTGCAAAAGAGAGTTGTTGCCAGGTGCGGAAGATACTATTTATATAAAGTGTATATACATATATTAAATATCTATACATAGTATATATACACAACAAATATTTAAATATACAAACATATAGCATTGCATATATATGCGTGCGTGCGTTCATGTGTGCGTGCATGCGTGCGTGCGTGCGTGCATGCGCGCGCATGTGTGTGTGTGTGTGTGTGCGTGTGTGCGTGCGTGCGTGTGCGTGTGTGTGTGTGTGTGTGTGTGTGTGTGTGTGTGTGTGTGTGTGTGTGTGTGTGTGTGTGTTATGTTACGTGGTAGAGCCATTATACTACTGGTATAGTTGTAGCACGAATGGGTCGAATGTTCGGGGAAGGACCACGCTCTCACAGAGTACCAACATAAAATAGCTAAATGCTAGTGTGTTTCGTATGCTAAGTGTTGGGAACCGGAGACCCTTTTTACTGGAAACGAGACATTCCATCTTAGTACTCACGGGTGACAACGCATCTGCAAAAACACACACACACACACACAACACACACACACACACACATATATATATATATATATATATATATATATATATATATATATATATATATATATGTATCTATTACATTCTGTGCGAGAATTGGTTTATGTTTCTTTTGTAAAGAAATCCGTTACCGTTATAGCCTATTAAAAGTCCACTGCTGAACGTAGGCCTCCCTCAGGATTACCTCATAGAGAGAATATTTATCACTGTTGCCACACTTTATAGGCGAGTTGACAACCGCAGTTTTTTTAATTTTATATGTTATGTAGACGCTGCTACCATTCTCCTAGTTTGTTACCCTCAGATATTATATACTATTACAGAAACAGAAACTTTTTATTCAATATAGATTAAAAATAATACTTATGGAAAATCACTCTTTTTAATTACCACTGCAAAAAACCCCCTAGGAAGAGCCAAACGATCCAGCCGGACTTAAAAAAAACACTTACAAACAACTACAACGTACAACGAATTAGAAATAGCTTGGTAGCGATCACCTTTCCTAGGGGTTTAGTTTAGTTTAGTTACGATGGGCTGTTTTCTGCAACTCCAAGTCCAAGCGCTTATTTTGCGTGTTGGCAGGAATAATGATATCATTCGAGCCATGAAATCTCCCCAAAGAAGTTCAACAGTCTTTTGATGTTGCAAGCAACTTCAGGGAGCGATATCGGCGTGCCGAGATGTTTAGCCCCGTATATCTTCCCAGGGGTTATAGTCATCCATAAATTCCTTAATATTATAATAACCGTTTTTTACACAAACTTAGTTTATTAAAATTTATATGTTATTGTTAAAGCGAATACTTCGCTCCAAGAACGAATTACTGACTCGGTGAAGTCGAGTAACTGGTACTACTGGTACTAGCTTGTGTATGTTCCTAGTATTTACAGAATGAATATCACTTATTTTTATACAACCACTTTTATTGTTGTGTTGTGTTTTTATTTTCATATATGTATTGAGAAGCCAAATTTAATATATAAATTTCCTTATTTTTTGTCTGAGCGACTCTTTAGGTTTTAAATCATAGATTGCTCTTACGGCCTTCTTCTGTAAAATAAACGTAATTTCAATGACAGTAGCGTGTCGTCATAGCAAAATACCATACTACATTATGCTATGGAAATAGCTAAACTAGTCTACTGTTTGAACACTGGTAAGATTTCTAATTTTTTATAGCATATGCTGCAGAACTAAGTCTCTTTGCTAATTTTAATATATGGGGCCCCATTGAAGCTTTGCGTTTAAAGTGATTCCGAGAAAAATGGTGGCATCGACAAAACTCAGCTCCTCCTTGTTTAAAATTACATTAGTATTAACGTGTTTGACATTCGGAGTTATGAATTTCATAC